ATCAATGTTTCATTGATTAAATGCTGAAGACATTGCCATGGGTCCTCATTCCCTTGTGCATCCTTAGGATGAATGCCTATCCTGAGAGGTGACCTGAACATACCCATAAAAGGGGGTCATGTACCCTGCTAAGCTGTGCTTCCTTGTTTCAGCCTGGGAATCGTCACCCTATATTGCCCAAATGTGTATTTTACCCATGTGCCAACTTGGACCAATACACCACAGACCAAGTTGGCCATGAAGTCATTTTGTATATAAGTGGGGCGCTCCCTTGGGACCCCCAGGTCTAGCACATTATTTGACAAATGGGGAAATGGAAGAACAGAGAAGGGAAGTATCTTGTCAAGGGCACACAGCGAGTCAGCAGCACAGTCTGAGTGACTCCGAGCCTGCTCCACTACTCCACGCTGCCCTCTGGGGGTGAGCATCCCTCAGATCCTCAGCCCCCCTGATAACAGACCCATAGAACACGGGGCAAAGCCCCAGCTCGGTGCGGTGAAGTACATACCAACCACTGCCACACCCAGAAAGGTAACGTTTGTCCAGCAGTATCTGAGAGTTCTACTGAGTGTATCATCAGTGAACACAAGGCTTCTCTTCAATGAGCCAAATCTATATTTATGTTACCTATTTCCTGTGAAATTTTATATTAACTTACTTGTTACTCATTTTATACTCTTTTCATACTCTTCCTCAAGCATACTTTTTTTGTCACTGCTTAACTAGCCCACAGAGGGCAGGGATCCACAAAAGGCTCTATGCTGGATCTGTCATTTGATCTTGACCACCGATCTGTTGAGCAGTTTTGTGTTGGGGGGTTGCCCCCATATTACAGATAAGGAAACTAAGGCCTGGAGAGTTTCAGTAACTTGTTCAAATCAAGTAGTAAAGAATGAAGCTAGGGGTTAAATTCAGCCACATGTCTACAGAGTCCAGTTCTCAAACACACACAGGATGAACTTGAACATCCTCCTCATGATTCACTGTCCTGGTTGTGATTACCAGTTGCCTTTCTGACCTTCCCTAGCAGACATCCCCCCACCCCTCCTCAAAGCACCAGTCATCAGCTTCTCTCTCTCAGCTTCTAGTTTGATGATAGTAATCTACTCAAGACAAGGACACCAGGGAACCAATTTTGTTAGAATTTTGTATAACAAATCTCTCTAAGAAAGGATCCTGAATGAGGAATTAAGAATCTGATGTTTATTAAGTGTATGTGATGTGTTAATTCTGGACACAGATGACTCATGTAATCCTCCCAATCAACCCATGAAGCAACTACAGTTATTCAGCCCATCCCACAGATGAGAAAGCTGAGAGCAGGGCCAGGCAATCTGACTGCAGGAGTCACTGGCTCAGCCCTATGTTTGGCGACTTCCATAGATCTGGGGTCTCCTCAAATCACTTCTTATTCTGTGGTGTAGGAAACAGAAGCCCCCAGAGGGCGCTCTTGGGGCGCAGGGCTGGCTTTGCACTGTGTTCTCAGTTCTGTTGTCGACAATTGAGGTTGTTTGGGGTTTTTTCTTTAACATTTTTTATTGATTTATAATCATTTTATAATGTTGTGTTAAATTCTGTACAGAGCACAATTTTTCAGTTATACATGAACATATATATATTCATTGTCACATTTTTTTCTCTGTGAGCTACCATAAGATCTTGTGTATATTTCCCTGTGCTATACAGTATAATCTTGTTTATCTATTCTACAATTTTGAAATCCTGTCTATCCCTTCCCACCCTCCACCCCCTTGGCAACCACAAGTTTGTATTATATATCTATGAGTCTATTTCTGTTTTGTATTTATGCTTTTGTTTTTGTTTTTTAGATTCCACATATGAGCGATCTCATATGGTATTTTTCTTTCTCTTTCTGGCTTACTTCACGTAGAATGACATTCTCCAGGAGCATCCATGTTGCTGCAAATGGTGTTATGTTGCTGGTTTTTATGGCTGAGTAGTATTTCTGGCTAAAGAAGATGTGGTATATTTATACAAGACAATTGAGGTTTTTAGATAAGTAACCAACCACCATGAAAGCTTGGTATGACTGCACACAGTATTGTCATAGAATCCTGAACTTGACCCTGTTCTGCCATTGGTTGTCTGTTTGACGTTGAAAAATTTGCACAGAAATTCCAGATAGACTGCGTCCTTCGGGTGAGGAACTCTGCTGCCTATATCCCTGGCAAGGTACAGGCACTCACAAATGCCTGCTAGTTTGGAGGGCTGCAAAATGCTGAATAGGGAGAGTGAAAATTCTCAGTGATGTGCCCCTAGGATACTTGATCCAGAGAAAGATGAGCAATGTGTTTAGCTCACAGGTGAACCTCTAATTAAAAACCCTTAAGCAACCAGTTATTTTAGTTTGCAGAGGGAAATAGTATTAGGTGGTAAGCATATGTGTGTGAGTTGTGGCAGGCAAAGGGGGTGGGAAGAGAGCAGACAAAGGGGAACACGGGGTTAATGTGAGGGGTTCTCTTCCCTTTAAAGCTGGTTTCAGATGGCTTTCATGAAAGATAAACCATAAGGGAATCAGAATTTCTCACGCTGTTAGCCTCCCCATCAATAAGCCCTGCCGTCTTGTACAAATCATCTGCATCTTGGACAGCAGTTTCTTTCAAGAAAGTGAGGGCTTTTGACTAGATGGAAATGAATGTTCATTGAGTTCTAAAACCATTCAATTCTTTCTGTTTTCTAACAGACTGTGTAGTGGAATAAGCTGACAACCAGAAAGAAATTGTGTAATCAGGGAAGCCCATGAATAAACTTTCAGAGTAGACATCTATTTTCTGGTCTATTTTAAGCTCAATTTTGTCTTTTTTTTTTTTCTAAAGGGCTGCTCTCTGATGGTTTTTTGCCCTGCAAAATACTTATTCATTAAAACCCCGCCCCCGTCTCAGAAGAAGCTGTGCATTTCCTACTTTTATGCTGTCTATATGCTTGATTTGCGCAGCTCAGCTGGTCAGAGGAGCTGAGACATCCGTCCCCGTACAAGAATCTCTCCCGGTAAGTCAGCTCTCAGCTACTTTGCCTATTACTTAGCTCAGCTTGTGTGATGAGTAAAAGCCTTTACAGGAAACCATAGAGACATTAGAAAAACACCAGGTGCTCCCTGAAGTATCTTAAACTGTATTTTTGAAGATAAGGAAAAGTTAGAATTTAGAATGAGTTTCAGACTGTGATAACATCAGAGATAAAAAACACGATTATGAATGAAAGATTTTAAAGGGAGCCATATTACTTTAAAAAAAAAATCCTTGCCTTTCAAAAGAAAGATCTTCAGAGAGATGATGATTATTGGCCAAAACACTGACAGAGATTATCTTCTGGTAAGGAGAACTAAAACCTCCTCAGTGGGATGCCCTCCGAACATGCACCCAACCAGAAGTTGTGTCAGTCTCGTTCTTTTCTTTTTTCCTTTTTTTCCAAGAAAAGAGGGAAGCTTGAAAATTGTCTGAATAAATATCAAATTACAAATATTAAATCAAGTTTCACAGAACACTTAGTGTAAGGATTCTTTTTCTGGCTCAGGACTTTAAGATGAGATTTTCCATGTGCTTCTCTCAGCTGCCTCGTCTGAGGTACTGGGAGCTTGAGACTCATAAGGATTAATTAGAGAAAATTCTCAATCAAGCAATGGAACTTAAGCAGACCAGACAAGTCAGTGAGCTGTGGTGAGACTGAGCTAACCCAGGATGTATGATAGTAGATGAAACACTGTCCAACTGGCCACTTCTTGTGTATGTATAGGAGCTCTTAATTCTACCAACTCAGAAACTAGAAACACAAACTGCAGAGAAAATGTGAGAATGGCAGTCTGGATTTTACAATTGGCTGCTGGCTCCTATGACCTTCTCGGGGAACCTGGGCATCAGCCTGTTTCATTCTGACTACACCAAGGCACCAGGCTGATGGTCCCACTTTTCATTCTTTTACCAAGGAGTGAAAGACGGGATGCCATAGCAGATAAGCATGCAGGCTGCCTGCGTTCAAAATCAGTTGCTTCCTAGCTGTATGTCTTTGGGAAAGCTACTCATCCTCTCTGTGCTTTGAGGTCCTTATTTGCAAAATGGGGACAATAACATGACCTGTCTCATTGGGTCATCTTGAGGATTAACTGAATGAATGGAAGTGAAGCTCAGAACAGTGCTTGGCAGGCAGAGTGCCCTTGGAAACTGCCCGTTATTTCCAGCACGCTTGTGATGATGATGCTCTGTGTAAGCTAACTCCAGCTTCACAACAGACTGTAAGACAGTGTCAGATGGCGCCTGACATGGTTTCTGGGCATAGTTATCATAGCTTCATTCACTCCACGTGGCTACGCAACACCAGATTTTACTTGGTGAGATGATCTGGTGACCAGAGAAGCTAGCAGCAAACCATCCCTTACCACAAAAGTTCACCATTTGACCAAAAAAGGAAATTCAGTTAAATGTAGAAATCTATGTATCAGTTTTTAAAACCAACTGATGTATAAGACGGTTTATATTCATGGTGGACTGATAAGTACATTCTAGGACTTTATTAAAAGTCTCTTTCTCTTTACTCACAGGGTGGAGCAAAATGGATTATCAGACATCAAGTCCCTTCTATGACATTGATTATGGGATGTCAGAGCCCTGCCAAAAAATTGACGTGAGAGAAATTGCAGCCCAGCTCCTGCCCCCACTCTACTCGCTGGTGTTCATCTTTGGTTTTGTGGGCAACTTGCTGGTCGTCCTCATCCTGATAAACTGCAAAAAGCTGAAGAGCATGACTGACATCTACCTGCTCAACCTGGCCGTCTCTGACCTGATTTTCCTCCTCACCATCCCATTCTGGGCTCACTATGCTGCTGACCAGTGGGTCTTTGGGAATGCGATGTGTAAATTTTTCACAGGGCTGTATCACATTGGTTATTTTGGTGGAATCTTCTTCATCATCCTCTTGACAATTGATAGGTACTTGGCTATCGTCCATGCTGTGTTTGCTTTAAAAGCCAGGACGGTCACCTTTGGGGTGGTGACAAGTGGGGTCACCTGGGTGGTGGCTGTGTTTGCCTCTCTACCGGGAATCATCTTCACCAAATCCCAAAAAGAGGGCTATCGCTATACATGCAGCCCCCATTTTCCATCCAGTCAGTATCATTTCTGGAAGAATTTCCAAACATTAAAGATGGTCATCTTGGGCCTGGTCCTGCCACTGCTTGTCATGGTCATCTGCTACTCAGGAATCCTTAAAACCCTGCTTCGGTGTCGCAACGAGAAGAAGAGGCACAAGGCCATGAGGCTCATCTTTGCCATCATGATCATCTACTTTCTCTTTTGGGCTCCCTACAACATCGTCCTCCTCCTGAGCACCTTTCAGGAATCCTTTGGCCTGAATAACTGCAGTGGCTCTAATAGACTGGACCAAGCTGTGCAGGTGACAGAGACCCTGGGGATGACGCACTGCTGCATCAACCCCATCATCTATGCCTTCGTCGGGGAGAAGTTCAGGAAGTACCTGTTAGGGTTCTTCCGAAAGCACATCGCCAGACGCTTCTGCAAAAGCTGTCCCATCTTCCAGGGAGAGGCTCCAGAGCGACCGAGCTCCGTTTATACACGATCCACTGGGGAGCAGGAAATCTCTGTTGGCTTGTGACCTGACTTGGTTTTCATGTGCAGACTAAGGGCGGGAGCAGTTCTTCTAAAGAGGAACTCACTGTCACAGAGGGCCTGAGTTTCATCCATCAATTTGGCATCTGCTCTAAGAGTATTAGGTATTTTAAGCCCACCAATTCTAGAAAGCCAAATCAGAACATGTTGATGAGATGACAACCTTCTCACCTCCCCTCCACATACATAGGCTTATTGGCAAACTCTCCCTTCACTGCAAAAGTCCAATTAAAAATAAATCTTCAGGGACTTGTTAATTCCTGAATTTGGAGTTTGGTTACCTGAATGGAAATAACAAAATCAATTGAGAAAAGTATTGTATAATTTCTTACAACCTGGATGTTTCTGTTTAAGGGAACATCTAGGTTACGAATGTGCTTAAAATAGGTCCTTCTCTTGCCGTGAGGAGAAAAGACATGCCTAAGATCAGTTAAGAAATGACACCTTCTGTGTGGTATCTCCCCTCCAATGTGTGGTTCTGCAGATGTTCACACCAGCAGATAGCCCTGTGGCCTGGTGAGAGCTGGGAAGGCTTCTTCACAAAGAAACGATTTGAGGTGGATCGA